CTAAACCCCTACACCCTAAACCCACGTCGAGGGTTCTCGCTGGAAGGACCGGGCCCTGCGTTTGAAGGCACTATGCGATGAAGCGCGTTGCCTGATGGCAGTGGCTTGTCCTTGCAAGGGAAGCCCCACGCGGTTCGCTCCATCTCTGCCTCCAGCTTGTCCCTCCTGTCCCGACAAAACTCTCGGACCTCCGCCTTCGTTTCGCTTCTGGTAGCCCATGTTGGCTGGAGGCAAGCACGCAGAGCCAGAACAGAAGCCAGCTGCGTATGCAGCTGCGGCTTTTGCTGCATGCTCTGCGATGCTTGCACTATGTCCAGTCCATAAGCCAGGCCAGCATCATGGTCTGGCTGCCATTGTGTCTTAGCTTCCTCCCAAGAGTCTCGCTGATGACGATCACCCTTGACCAGTGGATGAGGGCCAATTCCGTGCAGGGGCGGAGGGAAGCAGTAGATGCATGAGAATGGTCATAAGGCACTGTGAAGGCCGGCTGTCTGGGTTCCTCTCGCAAGACGGCCCCGACAATGTGTTCCAGAGGCCCGACCCATCCACCTGATCATTACCTACACCCACCTAATGACACCCTCTGGGAGGGGGGGGGGGGGGGGGCAGATGTCAGTCCTCATTCAATCATGATCTTTCATGCAGGACACGGAACGGCCCGCCTCAGGCCGTGCTGCCGCCGCTTTGCTCGGGCCCTCGGATTCGCATTATCCCCTCATTTTTTGCCGCCCGCCCAGTAGAAAAATGTCGCACCGCAGGGAACTCGTCCGAATCTAACAAGAGTGTGAGGATCCCAGAAAGCGAACGAACTCCAAGCAGAGAAGCCAAGGAGCATGTGTCCACCATGCCTTGGCTGGAGTTCGGAACAGCGTCCCCGAAAGTAAAGTCCTGCATATACCTCCTAGCCTTCCAGGTGCCTTCCCAGGAAACATGCGAATTGCTCAAATCTTCAGGGTCGAGAGTTTCGGAATGTATCTTCTTGGCTGTAGAAGCACCCCCCCAGTTTGAAAACTACCGTTCTGGAAGATTGACGATGCTCTGGGAATCTGTCCAGTAAATCGTCAATCCTCAATCTTCGGAGGCGGAGACTTTTCACACTCACCTCTTTACAAAGCCCCCGGCTGAAGAATCAAAACTGAAGCTTTCAATACATTCCAGGAAGCCTTTAATCCTAAGGAACGGGAGATTTACAACTCAGCTCCAGGTTTTAAACTGCCGCTTTTGTACAGTACAAGACGGACCTGTAAGACATCCTCCTATTTGTTGGCCAATGTTCGTGAGTGGTCATAACTGCACAAATCCTGAAGCACGGAAACACCACAGTATAACAAAGCCGAAATGTTGTCAAACCGCTTCGCCCACATCCATTTGCGAAGCAACATGGGACGGGACCTAGGCCCTGGGCAAGCAGTACGTCTCTGTGCATGAAGTCAAGACCGACATGGACGACAACCACACACGCAGCCGTATATTCTCGCCGTCGAGTCACTGACCCTCCCTGGAAATCGTAGCGGGGAGTGTCGGCTGATGTATCGAAGTCCAATTGCGTCTCATGCTTGACATGACACTGTCAAGAAAGTGCTCATCTTCCATATGGTTGTCCAAGAGCGTGTCGACAAGTCCATCCTTATAGTTGAAGCAAATCTACACAGACAGGGGAAGTCAATACTGATATAAATCTTACCAAAATTAGAATGCAACAACTTTCTGTATTGCCATGAAGCCAATCTCCATGAGTCTGATAGGTTCAGGATGCCACATAAAGCTATTTGATGTGAACGTACAGCAAATGTTCAGTGAGTGCGCTATGCTCTCGGCTCAGAAAAAATCATCTGGCAGCTTCGATACGCAGTATGAAACGATAATGTTGCGGATGCGATTGCACTGCAGACACTGTCGCGACGTAGATCGGTGAACTGCAGGACCTTGTGATGCAGCGTTGTAGAAACCCAAGATTTTGTTCAACAGATCGATGTCCAGCTTGATGTACGTGTCTGCCACAGCATCGGAGCGGTGGCATAGTGCGGTATTCTGCGCACCGCCAATGAAATTACCCAACGTGGCCCTGAGGACACTCCGCATGTGGTGTTTGTTCGGCATGCTCTCTGCATACCCAAGCATAAAAAATGGGGCATGCAACACAATGGTGAGTTTCCACAGTGTGGGGTGGCTGACATATGCGACACGTACACTCCGCACCAGGCATCACTGGACTCAACAAAGGCAACATGTCCACTGCCTCACTCTGTTCTGCTCGCTTCGCACTGACCGTCCAAATGAAGGGCAGCCCCTGTGACGAAGGACCTGGTGCAGTGTTAACGTTAAGTTGTACTGGTCCCAGATTGTAACCATTCAGTTGTGCTGCAAAGTAGTGTCGATCCCACATCAGCATCACATAATTCGGAGAAGGAGGTCGCAGAACTCCTCCACGCAATGAAACACACCGCGAAACAAGACGTCTCCGTGAAGGCACCAAGCCGAAAATAAAACACATTCGCTCAGTAAACAATTCGTGTACGTTCATCCAGACTGCTTCGGGCCCACGAGGATTTTCCACCCCGATTCGGAGCGTCCTCACATGATCCGGGATGTTGATCTGGAAACATGCCCAACCAAGGAGTGAATGAACTGCCCTGTTCCCGGACGACTGTTGATCTGGTCTAGGCCAATCGAAAACTCTCCATCGCAACATACAGTTCTGTGGGACTCTGTTCAACTGCGTGAGCTGGTGTTGTGACAAGTTGATAGCTCGGGCATTCTCTCTCTATCTGGACATTACCCGCATCGCTTGATGATCGTCAAGAAGCTCTGGTACTTCCAAATCCAGGTGACAATCTTTCCAATGATTGCTTTGTCCAGCACTTGTTGTTTCATGCTCCTCGAACACGCTGCCAAAGTCGATAGGTGCTCCAGACAAAAGTAGTAGGACGGCAGAAAGTGCAACAATTCCGGAAGCAGGACAGCACCTCCTCGTAGGTCAAGACTACCACATGCACTGGCTGCGCAAGGGGCTTCTCTATAGGCCGGCCTTAACGCCACTGAAGCTAATCTGAAATGGGGTCCTCTCCCACCAAACGGTTTAGGGTTTAGGGTTTAGGGACAAGGGTCAAGGGCTCAGGGGCTTAATGTTATCATGTAATGTAGATTCCCGGAAACGCTAAACCCCTAAACCCTAAACCCCTACACTGCTGATGAGGGAAATCTTCATACTTTACTTCAGGGTATCGAGGAACCCTAAGCCTAAACCCTGAACCTAGAGTGCAGTTTAGGGTTTAGGGTTTAGGGTTGTAGGGTCCAGGGTTGAGGGTTGAGGGTTTAGGGTTTTAGGGTTCAGGGTTCCCAGAGACTCCGAATATACCTTAAAACAAATTAGGGATCCTACTATAATTTAAGGTATATTCCTTAATTCATGGATATTGGAGTCTCTGGGTTTGGGGTCGCCTCAAGGAGGGCTTCCGTGTAGCCGTGGGTTGTCCGATTTGCTGCCTGGCGACGCTCTGGAGAAGTTGGAAGTTGAGTGATGATGTAATGAACCCCCCTAAACGTCTGAATATTACTACTCCATGTTTTGATTTCGTACCCTAAAGGTCTGAATATTACTACTCCATGCTTTGATTTCGTACCGGGGGGGAGGGGCTTTGGTTTGTCAGAAGTCTTCATTAGGCTTTCTGGTTCAGGCTTCTAGGGGTTTAGGGTTCTTGGGAGTTGGGTTTACAATCAGAAGGCACAGGATTATATTCTCAGAGAGCCCAATACCTTTTAAATAAAGAATATGCCCTAAATCTTAATATGTAGCCCCTAATAATTTCAGCTATATTCCTTAATGAAGCTGTATTGGGCTCTCTGGGTTGGCTTTAGGGCTTGGGAGTTGGGTGATTCTTGGAACTGAGACTCCCTCAGTGGGAGTCCTTCTCGAAGGGTTCTACTGTCCACAGTTCATGGTCATGGAGTTCTCTTCGTTACTCCAAGACCGAGCTTCATAAGGGTTTTCTAGTGCAAGCCCAGTTTAGGCCTTGGTTTGCAAGGGGCTTCGGCCTCAGGCGGACTTCTTTCAAGCCTTGCTGCTCGGATCTGGCATCTAATGTTTAGGGCTCGCAGGGTTTAGAGGCCTTCTGGGTCTGATTTTCGTTACTAACTGGAGTGGTTCCGAAAATACTGGATCCCTTCTCAGGTGTTTGTGCTGTTGCAAGGATCAGACTACTTGGAGTCGATGTTGGGGTTCTCAGAGTTTGACGCAAAGCCTTTGGCCTGAACGACAAGTCCGGAAAATAGGATTGGGGTTCAAGGATTGAGGGCTTAGGGGTCATGTTAGGGCTTTGAAACACACCCGGACCCCAAAGCATAGGAGAGTCCCTGAAACCGGGGACATGGAGATAGCCAAGCACTGACTTCAAGCATCTGACAACCTTACAAGCCCTGAACCCAAGAACCTAGTCACGCTTGGACACGCTAAAACAAAGGAGAAATCTAATGCTTCAACAGTAGGTGTGTGAATTGGGATGTTAGGGTTGAGGGTCAGGGTTTAGGGGTCTGGGGTTAGGCTTTTGGGATTTAGCGTTCAGGAGCCCGGGGTTAGAGTTTAGTAGTTTAGGGCTCAAGTTAGCTACTTGGCCAGTCTGTACGGCCTCAGTGAGGGTTCAAACTTTGGCGTGAGCGGTGTCTGGGTATCCCACTCAGAAAGGACGTCTAGGGCAGTCTACCGGGTTTTCTACGGTCAGGTATACTGATGCGCAGTTTCTGACCCAAGGCCCCAGATCCTGATTTTGCCATGGATCAGGTCATATAAGGCTTTAGACCCTTATCTCCCAACTTGCAGGATCAACCCTTCAAGCCTAAACCGTAAACCCTAAACCCCACAAGTCAGACAATCCATATTCATAACCTCGGCGGGGCTCTTCACAGGCGCCTAAGGCTCCCGAAACCATGACGCCTGGAATCCTACAGCCTAGACCCGAAACCTAATGGACGGATGGACGGATGGATGGATGGATGGATGGATGGATGGCCCCAGGGCAGGGGTATGTTCAGCAAGACGATCGTGGGTCCTCGTGGGGCCCGCTATCCCAACCATGGACTGGACCATGCGCTGTCCTTCACGTTCACCCTCACATGGCATGGGTCAAGGCCGGGGCACTTAATGGTACCGGCCAACACCGGTAGTGACCACATCCTGACCAAATCCTTGCAGTGTCGGCCGGAAACCGGCCCTAGCGGGAAGACTTTCCTGCTGGGCCGTGGAAACGGCCGGTAGACCCGAAACCTAGACCCTAAACCCCAAACCCCAAACCCTAAACCCCAAACCCTAAACCCTGAACCTAAACAGCAAACCCTAAACCCTAAACCCTAAACCCTAACCTTAAATCCAGAAGCCCTTCCCCTTTTCGCGTTTTGGGGCCCATGGGCTCCCGCATCCCCGTAAGCCTCCTTGGGCGCAGCGCTTCGTGGGGCGAAGCTGTGCCTTGGTTTAGGGTTTAGAGTTTAGGGCTTAGGGTTTTTGGGGTTTAGGGATTTAGGGTTTGGGGTTAAAGGTTAGGTTTTTAGGGCTTTGGGTTTAGGGGTTTTTGGCATAATATCGGAAGCTGCCTGATTTAAGGTTTCTTATTCGGGTTCTGGAAATGAGACTAATATTTCGGATTGTAGGGCCAGGGTTTCTTAGCCAGGGTTTCTTAATCAGGCTCCTACATTAGGGGTGCGAGGCTTAGAGTCCGAACCACCTAAACCCTAACCCGTAACCCTAAACCCTAAACCCTAAGCCCTAAACCCTAAACCCTACACCCTAAACCCTAAACCATGGGGGGGCGGGGGGGGCGGGGGGGCGCTGGGTGGATTTCTAGGGCCTTGGGGTTCAGGGCTCAGCTTCCGGGTTGAGGAGGTTCAAGCTCATGGCTTAGGATGCGGTGAGTAGCGTCTGAATGTTCCGGGTGCGAGAGTGGTTGGACGTAACATTATATATATATATATATGTATCTATAATATTTATGTATGTATGTGGGTGTATATATATATATATATATATACAATCATAAGTATTCATTATATATATATATATACATACGTAGCTCAATATATATATATATATATATATATCCCGCCGAACAGCTGCCTAAGTGCCCAGCCTGCAACAGAAATCTCAGCAGCAGCTGCTGACATAGAGCAGTGGCAACAACACCACAGCACAAGCACAACTGGCAATCGTCGCCATCGTAAGGGTCACCATGACTATGATCAGGGGCATCCTTATCGCCGCTGCAACTATCACCACGGCTATTATCACCACAACCCTGGCATTAGTCGTCGCCAGCACCACCAGCAGATCCCGTTAACTATCAGCACAGACCCTCTATCCTGCCTTAAACTCGAAGCCCAGAGGGCGACAGTCTACAAACCCTAAACCCAAAACCCTAAACCCAAAACCCCCAAACCCCGAAACACAAGAACCCAAAACCCCAAACCCTAAACCCTAAACCCCCCAAACCTCGAAACACAAGAACCCAAAACCCCAAACCCTAAACCCTAAACCCCAAACCCCGAAACACCAGAACCCTAAACCCCAAACCCTAAACCCTAAACCCCCCAAACCCCGAAACACCAGAACCCAAAACCTCAAACATCCAGCAAACAAACAACCGGGGCCCCGGCAGCTCGCCACCTGCGCCCAAACCCATCAATCCATTCTAGTATTACTATTACCACTACTACTACTACTACTACTACTACTACTACTACTGCTACTACTACTACTACTACTACTACTACTACTAATACTACTAGTATTACTTTCGTTTTGGAACTTTCAGCTTAAAGTTTTGGGGTTTGGATTTCAAGCTCCGGGTGCAGGGTTTAAGGTAGGGGGTCAAAGGGTTTGGAGTTTGGGATTTAAGGGTTCAGGGCTTCAGAATTTAGCTGCACTCGCCGTGGATGTCGAACTGGCAACTCAGCTTCAAAACGTTTCAGCTCTCAACTCAACTCGACCGGGCCACCTGCACACTCACCCGCCCAACAATTCACCAAACACGCCACTGTCTCAAGAACTGCTCCAAACAGTGAGGAGCTACAGTAGAACCCATCAGACTCAGACTGCACTGATCTATCTTGCAATGCCCTCCAAACCTAAATCTTAACCTTAACCAGAACCTGGCAGGTGTTGAAGTTCAGTTCGTGTACTCTCTAGGACCTCTTGAGATGTTACATGTTGCTGCGTCCTTTTGCTGTTGAGATGTGCGAGGCATGTTCTTGCTCTTACATTTGTGTGTTTGGAGGCTTTCCAGGTTTGTGTTTTTGCCACCTGACTAAACTCTTCAACTTGTTGAAACCGTGAGGGCTGTGTAGTACATACGTCTTTACATACAGGTATACATGCATATGTACATGCATGCATGGATGCATACAAGCAGAACTACACACGTTCTGCATAATACACAGAAACCCATACGTCGTCATATTCATGTGGTCGGTGTTGGTACATTTCACCTTGCACATCCAACTACTTTTCGAGTGCTTGTGCATCTCTGCAAAGCATGAACATCATTGCGTCATACCCAAAAACGAACCTAACAACCAATCCCGAAGATTTCCCAACCCAATCCCTAAATCGCAATGTAATCCTGAAACCTAAACCCTAAAACCTAAACCCCAAACCCCAAACCCTAACTAATCCAAATCCCCAGAGCTCTCCTAGAAGCCTTGTAGACTTCGTTTTGAACCGTTACAGGACCCCTCGCAGAACCCCATACACCTTGAAACCTGAACACCTGACCAAACCCCTAAACCTTAAACCCTGGACCCCAAACCCCGGTGTCTCTCTCTCTCTCGCTCTCTCTCTCTCTCTCTCTCTCTGCCTTTCTCTTTCTCTGCGCTCGCGCGACTTCCCCAAACCAGCTGGGCGCCGTGCCCTGCAGCTGCCCCGTGGCCTCCTGACCCACTTAATACTCTTAGGGTTTAGGGTTTAGGGTTTAGGGTTTAGGGTTTAGGGTTTAGGGTAGGCCGTGATGGTTTAACCGGTTTGAGGGCTCATTAAACTATAGCTAGCGCATGTAGTGAATTCCCGGTGATAGCGGCAATATCTAGAGGCCTCAATGATTATATCGGTTCCGGGGCATTTTATACTGTAACTATTGCATGTAGGGAGTACAGCGGTATACTAATACCAATTATTCAGATCTCTGGGCAACCAGCTCGCCCTAATGAACTGAGGGCTGGGGGCTTGATAACAAGAACAATGACTAGGGGTTAGGGTTTAGGGCTCAGCGTTTAGGGGTTAAGGTTTAGGGTTTAGAGCTTAGGGTCTAGGGTCTAGGGTTTAGGGTTTAGGGTCTGGGGTCTAGGGTTTCGGGTTCAGGGTCTAGGGTCTAGGGTTTAGCGCTTGGGACTCTAGGATGGTTTGGATACGAGACGCGAAAATTCCAAACCCTCAGCCCACATCTAGGGCAGCGAGCCAGCATGATCAAGGAGTAATGTAGGGCCTCAATAAGTAGAAGAGGGTTTTGGGGCCCATTATACTGTACTTACAATATGGAACCCTAACGAATCATATAGGTAATTATCTAGGCTAGTATATTACTGGGTTCTTGTTAAGGGATTTAATTTAAGTTACCAGAATAAGGAAACCATCTTATTTACTATAGATCCCTATTATGGTAACTTAAATTAAATCCCTTAACAAGAACCCAGATTAGGGTCCCAACAGTGTTTCTTCACCCAGGCTTGGCTGTTGGATCCGGAAGCCTAGAATTTCCTCTACCGACACAGTCCCGGCTCCGAGCCCTAAGCCAAAGGGCACCGGCCTTGAAAAGGTGGAAAGGTTCTATACGGGGTGTTCGAGGTGTAAGTGTTTCGAGCTTTTTTGGATTTGTGGGATCAGGGTGTCTGAGTTAAGGCTTCAGTATAGAAGCCTACATGATTGCATCACCATAACTATGTTGTTCTGTGTATGTATATAGGTACACATACCCTAAACCCTAAACCCTAAACCCCCCAAACGCTATGTAGCTTTGTTTGGGCCTCACATATCAGGGCTTGCAGCCTTCCAGGCCTTGAGAGCTGTGGAAGTGTGCCTTGCAGACCCCCGGCCCGAGGCCGAACCCTTTAGGAGGTTAGGAGTGTAGAGTTTGGGGTTTTGGGTTTAGGAGTTTAGGAGATTTAGGGTTTAGGGGTTTAGGGTTTAGGGGTTTAGGGTTTTTTTTTTTTAGGGCCTTTTTCGTCGCATGAGCTCCAAAGCCCGGGTTGGGCAGGCAGTCGGACACCCTTTACGTTGTCACAGAAAGCCGCCCTCAGCAGACCACACCGAACTCACTCTTGACCACGACCCTCATCATTCGACCCCGACTTCCGGTCACGTAGATCCACTTCAAGCTGTGATCCATCGGTCTGACCCTCATGGAACAGCTCAGCATCCTCCTGTCCATCACGAAGTGGTTGTGGTAGCCCTTGTCCCTGGTCGTCACCTGCTTCTTGTGCCGGTGTTGACAGCGCGCATCCGTCTGGACCGTGTCCATGCCCCGGTTCTGCTCCGTCAAGCCTCGATCCTTCAACCCAGCCCTCAGGAAGTCCCGCAGCAACCCCCTGTTCACGAGGTTTAGGGTTTAGGGTTCAGGGTTTAGGCTTTAGGGTTTAGGGGTTTAGGGTTTAGGGGTTTAGGGTTTAGGGTTTAGGCTTTAGGGTTTAGGGGTTTTTATGGTTTAGGGGTTCGGGGTTTAGGGTTCGGGAGCTTTGGGTTGAGGGTTTAGCTAATCTCTAACCCGCTCTTGGCTCGAAACCATATAGTAGAAGCCCAAGAGTTGGAAGCCCAACAGCCTCCATCTTGAAGAGTAATGTAGAGGGACTCCCAGCACTAATCGTCCTTAATCCCTAAACCCTAAACCCTAAGCCCTAAACCCTAAACCCTAAATCCTAAACCCCTACCCCGCTTTCCATCTCATGGGTTTCCTCTCAACCAGAAACTCTTAGGTCTGAATCGCAATACCGAAACCCTATGCTCGAAATTCCGACAACCTAAACCCTGAAAGGGCGCCATCCGAAACCCAAAAAAAAACCGTAAGCAAAATCCGAAACCCTAAGGTCCTAAACCCTAAACCCTAAACTCTAAACCCTAAACCTCGCTCGAGACCCGGTGCTTCTTAATCACGGCTGAAGAGACACCTCTGCGGATCGGTTTCCTTTGGAAACCCTCCTAAAACTCCATCATCCGGATGCAGCCGGCCAAAATTCCGCCAGACGTCGGGTTTTAGGTTAGGGGGCTCTTTGCGAATGGGGTTTTTGGTTTAGGGTTAGGGTTTAGGGTTTAGGGCCTTAGGGTTTTGGGTTTAGGGTTAGGGGTCTTGGCGAATAATATAGGGGCCTTAACAATTAGAATAGGGTTTTGGGGCATATTATACTTTGACTAGAACGAGGAACCCCAATATTTTGTAGGTTATTAGGGTTTAGGGTTTAAGGTTAGGGGCCCTTGCATATAGGTAGTTCTCTAAATTAGGGTCCCTTTTTGGGTCCCCAATATAGTGCGTCACCCTTGTAAAAAGGACCCCTAAAAGGGACCCTAATTTAGAGAACTACCCATATAGGGTTGAGGGTTCAGGTAATGGCGGTTTCGGGTTTGGGATCTGGTTTAGGGCCTCGCAGGATGAGGGTCTCGGGTTCAGGGTTTAGGGGTTTAGGGGTTTAGGGGTTTAGGGGTTTAGGGGTTTAGGGGTTTAGGGGTTCAGGGTGGTTGAGAGTGGTTTCGGTTTTGCCACATCCACCTCGCACAACTCACCCCAACATTCTACATCAACGCTGAACCCGACTTGCAGTCGAAGCTCATGCAAGCTACTGGCAAGATCTTCGGCAGATAACTGCATCTCAAAAGCCCTGACGAAGCCCTTGCTTCCTCGAGCATCAAAGGCCTGTTTCAGTGGAGCAACCATCAGGCGAGCTCAGATTTTCTCATTCTTTGGGGCTTTAGGGCTTCAGTGTTTTCGCTACGTTTCCCATCCGTGTCCCTTAACAGGAAGGGTACCCTAAACCCTAAACCCTATACCCCTTTCTCCAGTGTTCAACTTGAGAATTGGAATCCAAAGCAGGTGACAAAAGTGTCGTGCTGGGAACCTACTTCGGGTTCGGGCCAAGCCCCTATACCCCACGGAGCTGTTATGTAGGGCACAATGTACGGGACTTGGGGGTATATTCTACTATAACTATAAGGGGCAATGATGAAATTCAGATCCCGATGTAGTAGTTGGTAGTAGTATTCATACAACCCTGGTGACTCCAAAACCTCTAAACCCTAAACCAATATCCGAAGGATTTAATTCAACACCTAATCCCTAAGCCCTAAACCCTAAACCCTTAATCTAAAATCTAATCCTGCATCTCAATGTTCTGGAGCCTCTGAACTGTATGCCAGGGTTTTGGGTGGTTTCTATGCTGCAAGAACAATAAGGAACCCAACCTACACAACTTGCTAGGTAGAGGTCGGAATAGTTGGTAGTTGTATCCCCTAAAACCTCAACCCTAAACCCTAAACCCTGTAGAATCCCCTGAACACGGGGCTTCAGACGCTTTCGGCTCTTGGAGAATCCGAGCTCTTCACGGTGCCCGACTCATGCCCCTACTGGGCAGTCGTGGGGAAAAACTGAACTTAGGGCTTAGGGCTTAGGGCTTAGGGCTTGGAGTTTAGGGCTTGGAGTTTAGGGTTTAGGGTTTAGGGGTCTAGGGATGTGTGTTGTTGAGGTCTTGGCTGTTGAGTAGCCATGGCCAAAGTATCTTTGCATTCATATCAGGGAATACAGTGGTCTAACTACGGGAGGACTGGCAAGGTACAAACTTTCGATTTCCCAGGCCTCTGTTCAGCAGCAGATGTTCATAACTCGCTTTCAACCGGATTCAAACCGTTAAACCCGAACGGACATCAGAATCTTCCGGAAACGAACCCCGCAGATGTCTTCTCATGGGAGGTGTGAGTCATAATGCTTCCCAACCTTGAAGTGGGCAGTTCTCCAAATTAGGGTCCCTTTTTAGGTTCCCGATATAGTACGGCACCCTTCTAAAGAGGACCCCGGAAGGGACCCTAATTTAGAGAACTACCCATAAACCCTAAACCCTTAACCCGAAACCCTAAACCCTAAACCCTAGACCCTAAACCCTAAACCCTAAACCCTAAACCCTAAACCCTCTACCCAAGTGTTGCAAGCCGCAGAACCGCCCCGGACCCCTCAACCCCCCGCAATTCTCTGCACCATGAGGCTCCAGGGCTTAAGGTTTTGGGGGCTGATGGTAGCCCAGCCCTAAACCCTAAACCC